ATGACCCTACAGGGCATAATGGGCCTGCAGTTACTTGTTGTATAAAGCCATTTATGCTTTAATGCTGCGCTCTTCCGATTTTAAGAGTAGCCTATTTCTGTCATTATGGGCAAGAGTGAACAGGTGACCTAGACAGTCTTCACCAAAGCCAGGCATTTTCACCATTTTTAACTTTCAGTCCCACATAACATGAAAGCATAAGTACCAAATTAATAAAACCCCAGGTATTTTGCTGTGATATTTCTGCTATGGCAGGAACACAGACTTATCAGAGAACCTAATATTAGTTTCTTCCTATGAGATGCCTTTGGTTTTCCCACTTCAACTCAGTGAAATACCAGAGTGATTTACTCTGCTTTCTGTGCCCTCATCATGGAAATGCAAATTACTGCATTGCAGGCCAGACATTAGAGAAAGTAGGTGCTCTGGTACAAGGCTTCCAACCTGACTTCTAGCCTGAGGAGTAGGATAAGCAGCCAGATCTCTGCATCCTTTGAAGTTCATTCTGTGTAGAGAATTCTGAATTCAGAAAAGGTCATGTCCTGGATGAGTTTCTCATAATTGAGGGACAGCCATGAGTTCTGAAAACTATTTCATTAGTTACCTCAAAGTAGGGTCAACATTAGAGAGAGCTTGATTTTCACAGGAAAACCTACCACACCTTCCCTCCCTGCACCATTTTGCTCTGTGGGTAGGGAAAACAGCATGTTATGTTTGCATCCTGCAGGGCTTGCTGCCCTTCACCATTTCTGCACCTCCGGAATTCTTTCTCAAGCCAGTGTTTTGAGCCATATGTGAGCTCCTGATGCTACTAGAGAAAGAGAGGGCTTTCTGGTGTGCTGGTGGTGAGCTTCAAAGCTTCCAAGAAATCTGCTGTCCCCCCAGCTTTTTGCATGTAGGTGTACTTTGAGAAACTGCTAGCAATGGTTGTTGCAGTGTTTGCACAGGTTTGGTAGATAAAATACAGCCTGGTAATATGAGACAGCTGTGAGCTGCATTTTTCAAGGAGCAGATGGGTCATGAGTGACCCAATAGTTACTGAGCTAACGAATGCAAGAGAAGAGGAAACTTTCCTTCTACACTGAGACAAGCTATCAGACTCCCTTGACCTGCCCTCCTTGCCTCCTAAGTGAATTTACACCCTGTGTGCCTGACTCAAAAGGCAAGACAGCAGAGCATTTGTTGCCAGTGCAAATTTGCTGATAAGATGGGCTTAAACCAGAGAGATGTGTCATTCTCTCCTATGAGGGAGAATGACAGTGAAGTAGAGATGGAGGAGAGGGATGCAAAGTATTGCATGATTCCTCTATGGGTCACATTGCCCCCGTGTTGCACTTTGTCATTAGCTGAATCACTGGAGCATCCTGTCAAATCAACCTCCTGCACAGATTTTTAGAACCTCTAATTGGCACCTGCTTGGCACCTGCACAGCTACACGTTACTAGTGCGTCTCCTTTTGCCCTGCACAGCCTTTCACAGCTCTTTCTCCCAGTTTCAAGGCACAGTTAGTAGCCCACCATGGCATGAGGCAACCCTGGCTTTAGATGGGATCCTGTGATGTGACCCAGCATTCGTGTAACAGAAAAGCTTTGCTTTATTCCTTTCTCTTTTAACCATTAGTCAAATGTTTCTCCATGTCTCCTGTTTATCACAGGCTCTGAGCCTCCCTAGACAGGCTATTCTGAGCTTGCCCTGCTTTCTGATAATTGCATGTGCATTAAAGCAAACACCCCTGCAGGGTTTCTCCTCTCCCCTGTCCTTGCCAGCTTGGAGCTGGACAGCATTCCATGTCTTGCAAACACAGGGCTGTGCAAAAAAGGCATGCCAGGGGCTGGGAAAGCTCTGGAGGAGAGGGCAAAGCTGCATGCTATTTCAGGCCTCTCTTATTTTGCCAATGAATTCAGATACCTCTCCTTTCCTAGTGACATGATGGCCCCTAGGTCCTCCTGAGCCATGCATCAGTGACATCGCTATTGAGATCTACAGTCTGTGTCCAGCCTGTATCAATTGCTGCCTCCTTTGTAGGCATATAAAAAATTAACAGGATCCAGGGGAGTCACCCATCAGTACTAATTGCAGCAATAATTCTGAGAAGGTGGTCTGTTGCATATTTCTCCGAACTCTTGCTTTAAAAGAAGAAAGGGGCAGGACACTGCTGTAAGATTTTTTGAGGATGAGCTTTATCAGATTGCTGTGTAGAGAACTGGGAATCTCTAGATTCAAAAGTAATACAACCATTAGTGTCTTGTGCCTCGACGTGGGACAAAGTCTTGAGCTACAAGAAGTACAGTAATGACACTTTTCCTTCATAAAACATCTCTCTTGAGATAAGTAGATCAGTTTTGTCCTTGGTTTACAGATAGAAGAGGTAGCAGACTGTAAAAATCTGACCGGTGCAGACAACACACCACCAAGCTGACCACACTGCAGTCAAATGCTGCCAGGCACATCAAGACAGATGCCCTCTACATACCTGGCTTGAAATTGAGACTTCCAAAATTGTATTTCCCCTCAGGATATAGTTCTCAGGAATTTAAAAATACTCATAGAACCTTTTACACTTGCACACTTATGGTGAAAGAAAAGCAACTTGGGTTAATTCTTTTCAGCTGGTTCCTAGAATAAATCTGTAGGTCATAAGTAGATATTGCCTTTCTATTCTGATTGTCTGTTACCAAACATAGGCCACACAATCCTGTATCTGAATTCCCTCCTGCAAGTGGTAGCTAAAAGTCACTGCCTGTTCTCGTGCTTTAGGACAGTAACCAAGCTGGACCCTGACTGGATGCTGCCATCCACCACTCACTTGATCTGAACTTATGTTGCCACTGAACCAACCAAGAGGTTTCTCTGAAGTGAAACACCAATGCAGTCACACAGCCCATCTGCAGGGAGTTTGATTTTTCATAAGAATACTGGGGTTGGATTGTCCTTGTCATAGCTAGTGCACTGGTCACATTCCCCATGAAATACCTGTACTTCCCCATCCAAAAGGAACTTCGCTGGAGTTGCAGTTTCTGAGCAGCTGCAGTACATGTAGCTGATGGTAAATCTCAGTACTATTGGGAGAGTGTCGGGAGAGTGGGTGCTTCTTCTGTTTTGTTTTTCCTCATTTTTGAAACAAATCCAACTTTTATCAATTATAGGATTGAACAAGTATCTATGCAAGTATCAGTGCGTATCTTGTAAGACAGAAGAGTAATGGGTCTTTTTGAAGAGGAGGCAAAAATGGAATAAACTAGCTACCCCCTGGGTCTGGGGTGAAATAGCTGAACAGTTGAAATCTCCCCAGCTTTTGTTTCCTGTTTGTATAAGTAGCTTTCATCAGAGTGCTGGTCATGAGTAAGTTAACACCCACAGACCTGTCACCATCAAGCACTGTGTATCACTGAATTCCTAGCAGTTCTGGCAGTGCTGAACTGTGTACATACGTGTTTAACTGCATTCCCCACTTCTCTGAAGGAGCTATTTTCAGAGATCCCAAGTGTGGAAGTGGAATCTCTCAGATGACTTTTGACTCTGCAGAGAGGAATAAGTGTCTTTGAAAGACTGAGATTGGCACATGTACAAATATATTTCTTCCATCCTGGTATGTGAGGAAGGCTAAGGATGATGCAGTGCAAAAGTTGCTTTTGCTGTTTTTATGTGATGCTATACAGGAAGAGATCTGGGGTGATAACCAATGTGCTGGGAAATCCTCCTCTGCAAGGTGCTGCAAACTATCACTTTCTAATTTCCTGCAGAGGATCTTACTGGCATTCAGGTAAAGTTGTCTGTGTTCAGGGTTAGCAGAGGATGTTCTCTCAGGAAGTTAAAGGACATCAAGAACTAAAGGTGTACTGGAGCAAGTTCCCAATTACTCATCTGATCTCTGCAGGGGAGACATTAAGGGATGGTTTTGTAGTTTGTTCGTGGTTTGTTTGTCAGTATAGCAGCTCTGGGACAATCACTTATTTAAAGGACTGGAAATAATCCTACCTGGTTGTCCTTGTTTGCTTCTTTAGGTCTTTTTCCTGCCTTTGTGGATTCCTTGAAATTTGGCACGCCCGACTGTGCAATGCTTTCACTGTGTCTTGTTGCAGAGTTTATTTCACATACCCAGAGTCTCCACAGTGCTAGCTCCCTTCAACTTGGCCTAGGTCAAATCAGAGCAGTTACAGTGTGGTTTTGAACAGCAGAGCAATTTTGCTAACAGCTGAGGAACTGCACTGACTCCATCTCTAATGAATACCCTTAGTGGTCATGATAGGAATTTTGGGTGAGAACACGGCTTGCACTAATTACAGGGACTTAGTCACAACTTGTTAACTCAGCACTGAAAACATGCTCTTGGACGTGGCCACACTTGGGCAGCCTGGGAATTGAGGGAGAGCGCAGTCTTGCACTTAAGGCTCTGAACACTGCATCTCCAGTAATCTGGTTTAATTTCTTGTTCTGCCTTGTACTTCTTATGTCTCTTCTTATATTTCTTTGCCTTTCTGCACCTCAGTTCTGGAGCTATAAAATCACACTGCTGTATGTCTTCTCCCCGACATGCATGGCAAGTTCTTCAGGATGGGGATTTTCTAACATTAATTGAGTATGCAGTTTGTAGAGCAGCCACACCTGTGGCTGTGGGAGGTCAGGAGAGCCCTACGTGACATCTTAGAGTTTCTGTACTTGGAGAATATGTCACTGGCTTTGGATTGTGAGGCAGGAGCATCCTTGAATGCTCATGTAACTCCCACAGCTAATTTTCTTTGGTAGATTTGGGACTTTTATTTCAGCCTTGAAATTTTGCTGGTTTTCAGTTCTGCAGGGCAGGGAGTGCTGAGGCTGAATAAATTGAATTTTTCTTGAATTATGTAAGTGCTAAATAAGATACATTGCTACAATTTTCCGTATCCTCTGCATATGAGGAGGAGTGGAAAATGGATAAATAGGAAGAAAATGTGTGACAATACCTAATGTATTCTAAGACCAAGCTTCTAATCTTCTCTGTTTCTTTTTGTTTCTTCCAGGTGGAGCGGGAAATAGCCATCCTGAAGTTGATAGAACATCCCCACGTTTTAAAGCTGCATGATGTTTACGAAAATAAAAAATATTTGTAGGTATTACTGGCTTTTGCCAGAGGAAGGGGAAGGGAAGGAGAAAGGGAGGGAGGGAGATCAGGGGTTTGGAACTTGGTAACGTTTCTGAAAGAATGGAACAGGTGTGTTTTCACCCTCTGCTGCTGTCTGTGTGATATTTGGTATTTGGATGAAGAATGAACACTTGTTATTTCCCTGGCTTTTCTCATGTTCTTTCCTGTACTTTCATAGACTCATTAAGGAAGTGTTATCATTGTCCAGCCATTAACCTACTGCCACCATATTCACCACTAAATCATGCCCCCAAGTGCCACATCCACATGTTTTTTGAACACTTCCAGGAATGATGGTTCCACTGCTTCCCTGCATAGCCTGTTTCAATGCCTGACCACCCTTTCAGTGAAGAAATTGTTCCTAATATCCAATTCAGATGTTTCCTGGTGTGATTTAAGGCCATTTCCTCTCATCCTGTCACTTTTTAACTGGGACAGGATACTGACCCCCACCTGGCTACAGCCTACATTCAGCAAGTTGTGGAGAGTGGTGAGATCCCCCCTGAGCCTGCTCTTCTCCAGGCCAAACATACCAACTCCTTCAGCCACTCCTCACAGGACTTGTGCCCTAGACCCTTCATTGTCCTTCCCTGGACCTTCTCCAGCACCTCAGTATCTTTCCTGGAGTGAGCCTTTACTTATAAGAAACTTACATGCTGTTTCTTTTCCTACTTAAAATAGAGGAAAGACGACATGCCAGTGTTTTCTCTAAAACAGCAAGAGAGAAGGAATGTTTGTACCTGTAAGATCTGGAACCATTTTGAATCAAAGCTGTAACAGACTTACGAGTGGATAATATGGATAACCTCCTTTGTATAACAATTTTCATTGAAACCTTCAACTCTCACTAAAGGTGTTTTAAATTTGTCCCATCAGCAACAGATTTTGCTTTTAAGGGCTACTGATGGTTCTGCAGTGACAGTTATGTAGCAAAGCTTTTTTTGGTAAGGTTTTTTTTTCCTCCAGATCATTACCAGTGCCAGACAGGGATGTTGTCCACAGACAATCACTTTAGATTGATTTAGGGCACTAAATACGTTGTATCTGTTGTCAGACAAACAGGCCACATTAATCATGGCACAACAGGACAAAAAACAATGTTCTCCAAATAGAAAAGGGTGACCCAGTAGGCAGTAGGGAACTCAGCTATTTCCAGCTTTTTAACAGATTATTACATGTAGAAGAGAGTGGTTAAAAAGATTAAACAGTTTTTAAAAGCCAGCTTCCACTGGTGACCTCTTTTTAGTGTCTCAACACAAGAAAGCAATGACTGTTTATCCAAAGAAAGTGTGTTAAATGAGGGTAAAGTCCCTCATGGACTATTCATCCAGTCTTGATACTGGAGCAATGAATTCCTACTCTGAGAAGCGAGGCCTCTCTGCCTAAGGGTCAGCTTAGTAGAGCAGGCAGTAATTTCCTTTGGCTTCCCCTGCTCCTTTGGGGCAGAGCCTGCCATCCGTGGTGGAGTACAGTTGCCAGAAAGAGCTCGTGCAGGCACTGGGTGGAGGCTGGCTCAGATGTTTCCAGAGCTGCATGCCGAATGCTCTGTCCTCAGTGGCACAAATGGTCATGGCTTCATGAAGCCCTGTTTGCCACAGATGAGACAGAGGCCCAGATCTGCTCTGTGTGCAGACAGGCAGCAAAGGGAAAGCAGGCTTTACTGGGAGTACGTTCTCCTTTAATCCTGAAAAGAGAGGCAGAGGATATTTTCTCTGTATTCAGGTGGAAGGGGGGATGAGACCCCTTTTTTGATTAAAAGAGAGGGAATGTTCTTCGTTGTGATGTTGGTTTCTGTGCTGTGTAATCCCGGGTATACACACACAAGTACACACTCCTGCACGAACAGAGCAAACAGCTGATGGTGGCAGTGGTGACAATGTATGAATACATGCAGAAGAAAGGCCACGAGGGGATGGGCTGTAGAGGTGCTGAAGCTTTCTTCTTGTTCTTAATACCTGTGAAGTCAGAAGCTGAGCTTTCCTTCTTTACCCCATAAGACTTGAGGGCTATTTTGCTCCTTGTGAAAAATATCTGGTGCTCAGAGGAGTGGGAATGGTGCTACTTTATTATTAAAAAAAATACTGCATTTATTGGCAGGAAAACATCTTCATGAAAATCACCTTGAAAAGGAAAGCATCCCATATCTTTAAGCTATGGCTGGATATTCTGGCTTCTAAAAAACGTTGAGCTCCAAAGCGTGCTTTGCCAATGGCCATTTAGCCTTTAACAATCACTAAGTCTGCTTTGTGCTGTAGCTCCTCTGCCTGTAAGATTAAGCTGTCTGCATCTCCCTGCAAAGGCACCAAATCCCTCTGCTGAAAGACACTGACTCTGAAAGAACAAATGACTGTTAATTAAGTTTCATTTTTTATTAGTCGCTATTTTAAAGAAAGGGCACAATGCAGAGCTTCTGCCAAGCCTCCATGTTCAAAATTAGAAACAGCTGTGGCCTTTGATAAATCTGAGAGGTGGAAGAGAGAGCCTGTGGAGGGGTGAGGTGTTACAAGTGCGTGGGGGCTGAGAAGTGTCTATGCATGTACCTTCCCAAATAATAAGACACGGTGACCTCTGAGTGACCTCTGCATCAGGAAAGGGATTGCTTTCTGGTTGTGGCAGCACCTTTCCATCATGCGTGCCATGCCAGCACTAGCAGTAGTGGCATGGTTTCAGAGAAGCTCATGAATTATGGGTGATATTTCAGAAGCCAGAGTCTAATCACAATGCAGCACTGGGGAGCATTTCCTCGATAACTGTTAATTTCACAAATCATGTTTGACTTTTAGTTTGTGATTTAATTTGTGACAAGGGGCTTTGGTTGAGTAGATTCCTAATGCAACCATGAATCAAATACTTTTTCCAGTTTATTTAACAATGAGAATGATTTTTTAAAAATAATAATAAAAATCTGTTAGCATATGTGTGCTAGCCAAGCAGTCTTTTTCTGTTTATTTTGGTAGGGTTCTTTTTGCCAAGATAGTTGGAGAGGTGGAGATAGCTAAGAAATCTATTATTCCATCTCTTTATCCATCATTTTAAGTTGTCTTATTTAGTAAGACTGTGGACTACACATCTAGGTGTGAGGGGGGAAACAGAGGGCACTGTGGCTCTCTGTAAGTGACATACAGTCTCAGATATATATTGTGTTGGCTAAACAAGCAATATTACTGACAGTTGAATTATTTCATATTTGTTGTATGAACACACTGATGGCCTCCAAGCAAGACTGGGAGTCCACAGTAATAGATAATTTAGAAATAGCTACAGACAATCAATGCCTCCATCTCTCCCATCATATAATGTCAATAGGCAAAACAGCCAGGATGGGGATTCGTCCTCCTTTTTTTTAAAAATCAAAATGAATCAAAGTGGCCTGGTATGGGGAATGATCAGTGGGCTACCAAAACTTTTGTGTGCACCAGTCAGTTTGACTAAGGAAGTGCAGACAGTCAGGAATTTTAGGGAAATACAAATCATAGAATCATCACAGAATGGATTGGGTTGCAAGGAACCTTAAACATCATCCAGGTCCACCCCTCCCCGGCCATGAGCAGGGAACCCTTTGATTAGATGAGGTTGCTCAGAGCCCCACCCAAGCTGATGTTGAACACTTCCAGGATGGGGCATGTACTAAGAGAAGGAGCAATGCAGTAACAGATAATAACAAAATTTTGGTGTGTTCTGTAATACATACTGGAGGGACACACTCCTTTGGTGATTTCTGCATTGCAGATGAGCTGTGTGAACCTGGGGGATGATCCTCTCTTCTCTGTGCCCTGTATAGAAAAGGTCTTTCCTGAGCTGCCTCTACACAGAGTTTTATTTACTGTGTTTTATGCAGTACATTCAGCTTTTCTTTGGCTCATGGAAAAGCAGTTGTCCCCTATTGGAGGAGCTGTTAGCATGGCAAGCTAAGGGCCACCAGACAGTCCACAGGAGATGGAACTTCCTCTCCAGAGGGGATTGAGTTGACTGATACAGTTCTGTTGCAGAACTCCCAACAGGGGTGGCATTATCTGTTTTGATCTCATTTGATTAACTATTTCGTTTCAGCTGTCAGGGGCTTGGTGGGGAGTGGAAGTAAAATAGAAAAAAAATACATACTACAACCACTCCATGCACTTTTCTTTCAGATGTAATACTGGTATTTCTTGATTCCCTTTCTATTGATGTCTGTGTATATATATCTGTAATTTTCTATGTCAAGATGCATACAGATATTTGTGTATAGATGTGTGGATTTATGTTGAACGATTTTCAAATTTTCACATTTAAGATTTCAAATTTCAGATTTTTGGCAGCACTTATTTTACATCTCTGTCATCCAGTTTGATCAGCATGTTAAGCAAGAATCTGTTTTGAATGGAGGAGTAGACACCAGACAATTGTTCTCTGAAGTGTGCTGTGCATTCCTCAGCATCTTTTTCAAATATAACTGCCTTTCTCATCTTTCATCAGTACAATGCTATCACTGGGCAAGCGCCCAAATCTCTTTTCAATGTAAACAACACACCGCCTCCTGATTTCAGAGATGAAGGTGCATCACAATGAGGCAGATAAGAAAATTAAAATGTCCTCCTAGCTGTGCACAACTCACGTTTCTGGCTCATACAAAATCAGGTGGCAGCAGGAGTCAAAGACTTACAGCTCTGGTGGTGTCTGCAGAGGCCTTTTTCCTGCCTGTCCTCTCCTGTAGGGTTTTCCTGTAATTCTGTTTATTTTTGTTGAAAACTAATTGTGAGGTGCCAGAAGATGCAGAAAAGATTAAAAAAAAGGTTCTGTGTGTTCTTGTTAGTGGTAGGCCAAGACTTTGCCATTCAATCCATCTGCAGGGAAACCTGTCTAGAGCAAGAGTTCAGAAAGTCAGAGTGGCTCTAAAGACTCAACACTGAAAATTAATTTTGTGGTAGGTGTGCACCTTGGGACTGAGGCTGTGGGGTGTCAGGTGCTGTGATACAGGGAAAGAA